ACACCCCCGGGGCCTGGGGAAAGGGTTGCCTAGGCCCACTGCCTGTGGCTGCCCTACCAGGGGACGGGCTCCTGCTGAGTGCTGGTGACAAGTGGAGCCACCACCGTCGCCTGCTGACGCCCGCCTTCCACTTCGATATCCTGAAACCCTACGTGGAGGTTTTCAACAAGAGCGCCAACATCATGCACGTGAGTCCCTGGGACCCAGGGTCTTGGCTGGGACCTTGGCCAAAAGGAGTGGCCTGAGACATAGCTGGTCTAGGGTCCTGGCTCTGCTGGGTGGTTTTGGGGCCATTGCTTTCCTCCCCAAACCTTGGTGAATGCATCTGGGAAATGGGGATAATGATCCCTGCTTACACGGTGGTTGAGATGGTGTGAGTGTTGTTCCTGGTACAGGGTTGGGGGCTTCAACTAGTTCAGTAGGTGGCGTGGTGGTTAAAGTGCTGGACTCCCACATGGGAGGCCAGCGACATAGCCATTACGCTCACTGCTGGTTCCCTCTTCTTAGATCTTGATTACCGGGGAGAGGGTCTTTGGATGAGAGGGCTCCCAGGAATCTTAATATCCTTAGTCCCAGACCAGTTTGATCACTTCAGTCCCAGATTGGCTTGAGAACTTGAGCCCCAGGTCAGCTTTGAGAACTTTAGCTTCAGGTTAGGGTGGCAGCAGATTGCTGGTTACAAGGGCCCAGGAATAAATCCTCTCTGGTTTAGTAAAGACAAGGTTAGTACATACTAAAATGGAATACCTATGTTATCTCTGGGGTAATCCACAGCTAAGAGGGTGAGTCTAAAGTCTACATGGGAAAGGAATGTGGTCTAGTGAACAGCTTAATGACTGACCTAAAGGTTACTGTGTACTTGGGACCCTCTACGTGCTGCTCTCTACAATGGCTGTGGCTTGGGGAACGGCAGTCTTCCCTTGTCCTGAGATTAAGGTGGCTCATGGTCTTTGGGGTAACAGCACCTCATGGATGAGTCCCTGAGCTCCTCCTGGCTACTGAGATCATTTTGCCGATTAGTAGCTTTAACCTAAATCTTCCTACTGCTTATCTCTGTAATCCCCGGTAGGAGAAGTGAATGGAGCATTCTTTATTGACATTTTCCAGGAGGGTGGGGTGAGTCTAATGGGAGTAATGCCCGTTCGCAGCCGTCGCCTTAGTGGATCCACATTCCTTTAAGATTATTGTAAACGTTATAATAAGGCAGGGGGTGCCTTTATGGGGTACCGGGGTATGGCAATAAGGCCCATGGCAGAGAAATTGAGTGCAGGTCAGTACAGCGACACAATGGAGGATCAGAACTCGTAAAGCTGTTGACTTTGCAAACAGTTCTCCTTAGCCGAGTCCTTGCTCTTAGGCATAAGGGGCAGTTCTTTCATACTCAGCTTGTGTTAACTGCATGGTCCCAGCAAAAGCAGGTCATCTTAATTGTCACCCAAGATTTGACAGGCGGGGCTTAGGGGAGAGCAGTGAGGGTTTTTTGGTTGTTGTTGTTGAAAGAGTTATTTAGAGACCAGCAGATAATATAATGGTTACATCTCTGAACTCCCACGTAGTTGACCATGGTTCGAGTCCTGGACCTAACATCTTAAAACTCATGTCAGGCACATGTGCATGCATGCCCAAAATCCTGAGAGAAGAATGTGGCCTGGCCATCCCCCCTGGGGGGGGGTGATTTCTCACTCTCTGTCTCTCTCTCTTTCTCTGTCTCTCCAGCAAACGCCCATGCCCTGTAGTGAAAATCTCTCTTTAAAACATTATTTTGGGAATCAGCAGTTAGTGTAATGGTTATGTCGCTGGACTCCCACGTAGTCGACCGCGGTTCGTGTCCCGGACCCGGTGGCTTAAAACTCACGCCGGGCGTGTGTGCGTGCGTGCCCAAGATCCCGAGAGGAGAATGGAGGAGAAGGGATTGCGGCATGGCCATCTCCCCTGGGGGGTGATTTCTCGCTTTCTGTCTCTATGTCTCTCTCTGTCTGGCGAGCGCACACACCCTATAGTGAAA